AGAAGCTATAGTAACATGTATAAAAAATGTCGAATGCAAATTTCCTTTTAAGGGATTGTGAGGAAATTGTTTTGACGTTCATCTAACACAAACTGACAAAAATAATAGCGGTACTAATCATTTAGGGTAAAAAGTACTTACACCGCATGACCTCTTATGTTAAGATTATTACACCGCATGATCATTTATGGTAAAGGACATCGGTCAAAATTAAAAAAGGGTAATAACGATAACGATAAAAACGAATTAAGTTTCCTACTGTCTACGTAGAATTATTGGTGCCGAAATTTCACCTGACTAAAGCTACTAAATTTAATTAATTTCTGGAGCTTATGTCATCTTCAGCATAATAATTATTGAGATTGCCCGTTACGGTTAATGCAGTATAATTGATTTAGCGAATAAGTGATTAAACGGATAAACGTTTATATGAGCTCATGTCGCAGTACTGAATGTAAAATTTCAGCTGATTCGCGGTAGTATACCTTCTCGATTAAATTTAGAAAGGATCCAAAATTCGTATTCTCTTATGGACGTTGTCATTGTTAAAAAGATAATGTACTATAGAATTTCGAAACGTATATTAAAAATCTGTAGTTAATTAAGTGCAAAACATTTTGTAAACTTAATAAATACAAAGAAGCCTCCCTAATTGCATCCTGTCCGGACAAACCCTTGGTTTGAGAACAATAAGAAAATTGCGTTTAAGGAGGTCAAGCAGATATTGAAGCCAAAGTTACATTTATGGAGGTGGTACCATTTTTTGGAGGTAGTACATTTGTGGGAGTGCATTTAGGGAGGTTTCTCTGTACTTATAGGTATATTTAATAAAAAGAATTAAGTTTCTCTACCGCTACTGCATAGAATTATGGGTTGAAGTTTCACCTGACAAAAATTACTAAATATATCTAATTTCAATGCTTATACGTACGTACGTACATCTTCGACATAATGCACATAAAATTATTTCATCACCTTATTTGAAATTGAGATTGTCCGTTAATGCAGTATGATTGATTTAACCACTATGAAAACATTTCATTGTTAAAATGATGTGTAAATATATATAGAAATTTTGGAACATATATTCTGTAGTTTATTAAATATAAAAATTTTGTAAACATAGATGCATTTAATAAACTGTATGCATTTTTAACAACATATTTCTATATTTCTGAAAATTATTTATATGTCGTATATATATTTATGTACCTACATGCTAGTATTTCTTTCATAATTATATTTAAAGATGAATAAGATGAATCCCTTTCGAACTTTTTTTTTTTCGCTTATAGTTATTAGTTTAGCACTCACAATTGTGACATGTTTTAGTCCTAATGGCCGAACTGGACAGGCTAGTGTATTAACTGGGGACAAGCTCTATTTTTTTGGTGGCAATAACAGAAGTCCGAGATTTACTGACCAAGTAGTATATCTTAGTTTATCAACTTCATTTAGAAGAACCTCACCCCCATGGAACCAAATTGATACTTCGCCAATTCCAATTCCACTTTATGATGCCAAGCCATGCCTTTCTAAAGATGGATCCAAAGTTTTCTTAGTCGGTGGATTATCAATGGACCAGAAAAATACATCAAAAGATATTTATCCACCATCATCTGTCTATGCATTTGATTTTAATAGTTTACAATGGACGACAACTCTAAATATTGATAACTTTAATACAACATTTTCAGGACGTGTATATTTAAAGAATGTTGCAGACAATAATGGAAATCACTACCTCTTTGGAGGAGATCAAATTAATACTACAACAGACTCTGATTTTTTTTATAATGACATGAATATATTTGACACAAAAGTGATGAAATGGACAACATTAAATTTGCCTAATGCCCCTGTTGCTAGAGTATTTTATGGTGTCGTAATAAAAGATAAATTTATATATTATATTGGAGGTTATAGTAATAAATCCGATATTATGTCAGAGGTATTAATAATTTACAATAGTTAGGAAAGTTTTAAATTTATATCTTGTACAGTAACTAATTGAATTAAATCAATCAGATTCCTGTATTTGATACTGAGGGTTTAAAATGGTTTATCATGGTACGTATTACATATGTATTACACGTGATATGATACCGTTAGAGAATTTAATTGTTTGTTTTAGACGGCTCGCGGTGAGGCAATTGCAGATCGTTATGGGCATTCAGTCGTTTTATGTATGTACTTTAATAATATTTTTATAATCAATTATTTATTATATGTAATTACATTTATTATAAAACGCAAATACGGTGGTTTGGACTTGTCATATGTTTTTATTATGTTTTATAGATTTTTCTAAGTTTGTATATAAAATTTTTAACGCAAAATTTTCACATCAGAATTAGTATTTAGAGTTAGAATTAAGGTTTGGAAAGGGTTTTTGGGCGTAAAACATTTTACTTAGAACATCTCGCACCGATTAATTAGCCAATTTTTGAGATAATGTATTCATAGGTCTAAACACCATAGATGCGTTTTATACAGAGAAACCTCCCTAAATGCATTCTGTCCGGACCAAACCCTTGGGCATGTACATTTAACGAACAATAAGAAAATCGCATTTAGGGAGGTTAAGTAGACATTTGGCCAAAGTTTAAAGGCGCACTTAGGAAGTAGTGCAGTTATGGATGTTCTCTGTAATTATAATAGTTTATTATTATTATTTATAATTATTACATTTTTAAATAGCTCCAGATGGACTTATTATTATTTACGGTGGAGTAGGAAAAAATAACCTTCAAGCACAACCTAGTGTTGCTTTATTAAATGTAGATGTTTCACCGTTTACGTGGACGACTATTAAAGATAAAGCACCACAATCACTTGTGTATCATTCAGCTATAATATATGGAAGATATATGATCGTTGCATTCGGTAATAACATTAAATTGAATTTGATTGATGCTCAAGACTAATCTGAATATCATAAAGCTTTAGCGAACTACAATTCTCTAATGTTTTATGGTGTTCTAATGTTTTAATCAAATTTCTAATTTAATGATTTAATTTTATCTCTTTCTTTTATGTCTAGGCTATTTTGCTCCTTCAGAACAAACCACAGTACCACTATTACCACTTAATAGTGATTTATATATCTTTAATACACAAGATCGTACATGGGTTGATTATTTTGATGCATCAAATATATATGGGTCTAATTCTGATAATAATTCACTTTCATTAGGCGCAAAGATTGGTATTTGTATAGCTGTAGTGGTTGCTTTTGTTGTTATAGGTGCTGCTGGATTTTTCATTTACAAGAAATATCCTATTCGCAATAATTATCGTAATTCTATTGCAACCCCTGGCACATCAACGTATATATAATTTGTTAGGTGTATTTTTGCTTTAATAAATACATATGTAATGGAATTGTTGCTAAATAGCTCTTAACATTATAAGAGTAATCTATTTGAATTTTTCGAGTATGTAGCCCTTAAATAGAAAGGATTACTTATATCTATATTAAGATTAATGTTTACATAATGTTAGAAAGAATGATATCTATTTATATTTGAAATAAAAAAGATCAATACGAGAAAAAAATCAGAGGGTTCTCTATTATTATCTCAACGCCGCACTTGGAGGTTAATTCAATCTCATAGTAATTGCAAATATCCTAAAGAAATATATTGCCGAATAGAGAAGCAAAAATAATAAATATTTAATGAGTATAGAAAATAAGAACGACACATATTTATTTAGAGTCAATATATTTGTCACCGGCGATGACAGTCCCGCACCAATGATGATGCAAGATCAGATGTAACATGAAAACGAACGAAAAAGACCGTTTTTCAAAATTACCACCCTTTACGTTCTAGTAAAAAAAAAAATTCCTTGCAAAATTTACTATATGCTATGCCCTTTCCCTAACCCTAATCTCAACTATACTGTGCGCTACACAGGGTAGGGATGAAAAAAACGTTTTAAACAGTTTTTTATGTTTTTTTGAAACAATTTAACCAACTTTATAAAACATCGGTATTGAGATTAAAATTCTATGAAACTACAAGAAACACATCATTTCTAATTTAAACTATACATTTATTTTTTTTAACTGTTGTATACTTTTCTATCGTTTAAATTCATGATTATAATTTAGTTATCGTCGTCTTCAAACCAACCATCATGTTCAATAGTTAGATCGCAATGTTCTGCTGTAGCTGAAAAAGATGGAACAGAGAGAACCTGGCAGAGGCCATAGTTCGACCAAGTTTATTAATTTTTATATCTTTTGTAAAGATCAAAATAATTCCTTTTAATGAAATTCTTTAATTATTTTAAAAATAGAGAATTTTATATCATTATTTAATAATAATAAATACGTATTCATTTGCGTAAAATTGTATTAAAACAATTAAAATCATTTTTAAATCAAACAATCATGATTTTTAAGATCACGTTTTAAACCATTTTCGATCTCTACACAGGGACGGTGACAAGCACATTTTATAAATCATAATAAAATATTTTTGAATTAGAATTTATTTCAATCATGTAAATAAGTTACCATCGGCCAATAGGATTCGAGTAATATACGGACGTTACTGTGACGCAACCAAGTTTCAGAATTAAACTTTGGCTTGTGGAACATGTGTAATATGTAGTGTAACTCTATAATAG